TGTGTTTTAGAAGTCAAAATTTATACATAATTTTAAGCGCATGTAAATCAAATCTAATAAGCTAAGGAATTTTCTTGTCATATTTGGCCTAATCATGATGGATCACTTTTAAACATTATATAATTTCACAATTTGTATAAACAGCTGCAAGTACTTTGTAAAGGATTTTATGTAATCAAGTATAAAGGCAAAGAGTGTCTTATTTTATAAGGCCAATGGGTTCAGTTTTATGATTTATTGTTATTAATGACTGCTTTTAAAGTACTCATAAATATTAATTAGCTATAGAATTGTTCACTTTTTAAATAATAATTAACATTTAAAGTTTGTCTTTATTCTTTTCATTAAAACTCTAAATAAGGGTTCGCTAAATAAAAGTTCATCCGCAAAACTTCTGTTCTTTCTTCTCTGCCAGACCTAACTGGTGAGGAATCGCGTGGCTGCGTGGAATCTTCCCCTGCTGATGACTGGTGTTGGGAGTTTGGTTGTCCCTCTGAGCCCCAGGTTTTTTGTGTGTGTGGAATTAGAATAATGCTTTACTTATTTGTCAGGATTGTTATGAGGCTTAAAGTGTTTTGCAAATTTTGAGACACTTTAGGTTACTTCAGAAGTCTCCTAGGGTGACTTCTCTACCTCGGCTTTTGCCCTCCTACATCCTTCCTTGTGGAAGGAGCCAGAGTCTGTCCCTCCTGTCCTAACTACTTTTGGTGTGGAAGCATCCTGAGAGGCGGGGGGGGGGGGGGGGGGGGGGGGGGGGGGTTGGGGGATGGGGTGGGGGTGGGGGTGGGGATGCGGGGGGTGGGGATGCCCTGAGACTACTGGCTTCCTTTTTTATTTGCTTTACTGTTTGCTGTTGTTTGTGTGGAAATAAATTAATACATTGTTTTCAAGTAGAGCAGATTTTTCAAAATGCGCAGCTCACACTGCGCTTGTGGCCGAGACCCTCAGGTGGCCTCAGGTGCTGAGCCTGAATCCAAGTCTGCTAGGGCACATCCCTCTGTGTGTACCTTTTCTGGGTTGTGTCCCAACCACTGTAACACTTTCTCTTCCAGCTTTCCCATCATTTGGTTGGCTTATCATCATCATTTAGATCTCTGGTCAGAGGTATATAAACTTGTCCTAATTGTTATGTTGGTTTCTGTCATGCTCTGTCACTCTTTGGCTGATTACTTCCCCTCCTCCTTTTCAGATCATAACTGTGGCATTGCCTTGTGTGCTTGTTTACTTGTTTGTCATCCTTCGCCCTCATCAATGTGAGAATAAGAATAGTGTCTGTGTTGTTCTCTCAGTGATAGGTTGCGCTTAGGATAGTACTTGATACGTGATAGGATGCTTCTATTAAGAGATAAATAATAAAAATAATAAAATGTTTTTTAACCTCTTTTAAGGAAGTGCACGGACCATCTTTTTTTTTTTTTCCCCAACCTTTGAGTTTTGCAACTGTATGGTTAATCAGAATCATCGTTGTATTAAGTTGGCTGTAGTATCTTTCAGGATGAAGCTGCATGTACATAAGTATAAAACTTGTTGCTGGCAAGAGTCTCAGCAATTTCTGCACCCATTAGATTATCCTCTAATGCCTTAGCCTCTCAGTTCCCTGAATTGTTTACCCCAGTCATCTTGCCCGCGCCTGCACTAGTAGGGTTTTCCTGAAGCCCTTCGGCACTGGTTCTGCACTTCTCCATGACATCAGTGTCAGCTTCATGCATCTGAATCTGATATCTGCTCCCTTCCCAGTCCTCATCCTATAGTGATCCAAATCCAGTAATTTTTAAACTTACATAAGATCTTAACATCATTTCATCACTTTCATTTTTCATTTTATGGAATCCCCCCCCCCAACATACAGTCAGTCCATGCTTTGCCCTTACAATCTCTCTTTCACATTTACTTCAGGTCCCTTACATTTATATTCACCTTGCCTGCCCTTCTGCTCAGTTATTGCACATGGTGGGGAAACTCCAGCTCTACTTAAATCAAAGTCACTATCTACTTACACCCCACCCACTCAGCTGAATGTAGTTGGAACAACACCTGCAATATGCCATGTCTCATTTCAGGTCCAGCTTAGCTATCTTTAGGTGATTTCTCTCTATCTTTCACATTGCAGTCAAATCCACTAGGACATCCTACTCACTTTGTATTCCAGACTTCCAGTGAGGCTGTGCCCACTTTTCACCATCTCTGCTGCTGTCACTCTTGTCCAAATGACCATCTTCTCCCTCCTAGATTTTTATATTAACCTGCTCAATGACTTTTTTACTTTATACTTGACTCTGTAATTTATTTTCAACTAAGCAACTCAGATGACCCTTTTAAAAAGTATGTCAGAATATATCGATTTTTTTTTTCTTACAACTGCACAGTAACTTCTCTCTTATAGTGCCTTTTATGTGTGATCTGGTTTTTTAAACCTCATTTCCCACTCTTACTCTTGATTGCTAACTTATTTCAGCCACTGTAGCCTCTGCTTTTTCTTTGAATCTGTTAAGATAACCCTTTGTTCTTACAGTTCCACCTTCTTGCAAGGCATTCCCCCAGATTTCCTTGTTCCTTCGCCTTCCTAAGGTCTTTGACCCACCTGTTTAAAGAGTTGTTCCCGTCATGCGCCCTTCAACTTTTTCCATAAAATGTGTTTATTATGCTTGTTGGTCTCTTTCCCTTCACTAAAACATGAGCTCATTGTTATATCTGCAGCCCCAGGACAATGCTTGGCTAAAGCAGGCACTCAGTTATTTGGTGAGTGAATGAATGAATGAATGATCAATTTAGTGGTTATCCATTGGAATCGTTAGAATATATTTAACAGGGTGTAGTGTGGTTGAAGTCAAATTGCATGTCTGTAATATTAATGTCTTTGTGCTTCAGTTACTTAGACATTGGAAGGAAATCCACCAAAATGTTAACTTGTCTCTTGTTAATGACATTTTCAATTACATTTTCATGATTGTTCTCCTGAATGTTTGGGATATGAGCATATGTTGTCATTAGGAAAATTTAAGTCCATTTCTAACAATGAAATACGAGAACTAGAACAGAATGTTCACTGAAGGACAGAAGGAAATGGAATCACCAGAGCAGCAGGCATGTTTCTACACTTCCGAAGATGGGTACTAGAGAGTCATTTTAAGGATGCTGTTAAAAAACAGAAGAACAAAAATATTTTTACCAGTATCTTACCATGTTTTCATCTTCACAATTTACGTTCCTCTATTATTTAGAATGAAGTACTGTAGTCACTGGGCTCTCATAAGTGTTCCCTCTAAAAATCTAACACAGCACAGGGAATCCTTGTAGGGCATTTTTATCTGCGGTCTCACTGGTTGGAATCTCAGATATATAAAGGGAATTATTATTAATGGTCTTTGATGTTCATCATACTTTAATATTCATAATGATTACTGGAGAACCTAGATTATATTTTCTTCATCTTCTTCTCATTGCTTGTAGAATAGGTACTTAATAAATGTTGAATAAATACTTTTTTTTCATTTGACCAGTGTTAATATTAATCTCTCATGGATACCTTTATTTTGGGAAAAAAAAAGACTTTTGCTTCATATTAAATCGCTCAGTATTAGGGATAAACTTAGTTGATCGTTAGGGAGCTGTGAGGTAGGGTGGAGTGGAAAGGGAGGAAGGAGAAAAACAGAACTGTGGGCTGTTCCATTGGAAAAGACAAATGCACATACATTAAATGACAAGTTTCGTGTTTTGTTTTTTAATTGGACAGTGATTTCATTGGGGATTCCCCCAATGATTTGTTCCTGCTCTCACTGAATTAAGAAAGTATTTTAGCTTCAATATTATGAGAAACTAGATGTATAAATGTTAGTGTTAATAGCTTAGTATTTTAGTCTTTTGCAACTTGATGCCTGTGGTATCTGGACATTTTTTTACCTATTCTTGTAAATAAGGTCTCAGTGATGTTTAAGGAACAGAAACTTTGTGGCTAGAAAAGAAAAATAGCTTCATATTATCCAAGGTAAGCAATATAAATGGGGCTCAGGAATCTTCCCCTAGATCAAAAATCTCCTAGAGAAAGATCTCTGGAACCTACCAAATAAAGACCTTCAACATAATTTTAAATAAAGCCTTTTATGTAGCATGCAAGAATTTTTCAGTTGACAATCAATTGCCACTATTATGTAGGCTTACTAGATTTGCAAATTTACAAGTTTTTATAAGTCAGTTGGGTCCCTTCCTCAGGAAATCAGTTTAAGTTTTTTTTCCTATATTGACTCAAAGAGCCTAGTTGTCCTTAAATCCTGTGACTATATTTGCCTTATAATTTGACGGCATTGAGTCAACACCCTAATGGGGTCTGTAATGTTGTAAAAAGGGAAACTGTTCAATAAAGGATCACATTTGAAAAAAACAGACTGTGCTGGATAAATCCAGCATTGGATGTGGGCACTGTGCTTTGCTTTAAAGCCCCTACGACTGTTCAAGGAACTTTGCCTATTACTTACAAAATGGACAACTGAGTTGTATCTTTGTGAAATTACGCCATGACTGTAAATAACATGTACACAGTGAAAGGTTGATTATGTTTTAACAGAAAGTTGTGTATTTGTGTTAGCATTAAAGTTCATAGTGATTATAAAACTATTCTGATAATGCAATTGAACTGCTTGGGTAAGCGCATCTTTTCATGAATCACTATCTCTAAGCATGTTATTTTAAGTAGATTTTTTGGAGTACTTTCAATGTGTCTGAAGCTATATAGAAAATAATAGTGATTGTTTTCAGTTTTTGAGCCCTTATTTTCCTGTCATGGATTAATTCTCAAAGAATCCTGTATAAGTTAAATATATTTGTTATTTCCAGTGTTTAGATCTGGAGACTATGGCAGGAAGAAGTTAAATAGCTTGACGGGGATTACATAACTAGTATCTAAGTGGGATATAGTATTGGGAAATTAGTCAAATTTAAATATGTTAAAAATGTATTGATTGATTCTAATATTAAATTTTATTCTCTGTTTAATGCTTTTCTAGTTGATTTGGAACATATGCGGACAGTGAAAACCGAAAAGCACTTACGGTTTTGCCAGGAAAATGGTTTTAGTAGCCACTTTGTCTCAGCAAAGACAGGCGACTCTGTAAGTAAAATAATGAATACTGAGTGTTCTAAGTGACATTTTGCTTTTATTTACTAAGATTCTAAGAAGTATACTTCCATTACTTAACATTTGAAGCAAATTAGTTCTTATTAAAGACATAAAATGTTTTCGATGATCATACTCTGTTTATATTTTGTAATTCACTTAGCATAGCTTTATGGTCATTTTGGGGAATTTAAAAATACAAGAACTAAAAAGAATACAAATCACCTGTAATCTCCTACTCATAACCTCTGATCTTTTCCTGGTGCTGGTGCTAGCAGGTTGCAGCTCCTGGGGGCCTGCTCTGTGACAGGTGCTGTACTGCTCTGCTCGCCTCTCTCTTCTAGATGAGCCTTACATGGCTGGTGCAGTGGGCTCCAGCACCCCACCTCTGCCTGCCACTCCCTGGCACAGGATTGTCCTCAGCTGTCACTGCCGCAGTTAGCCCACATCTCCATAGCGGGCATCCTAGTCGCTGACCGCCAGCCTCTTTCTCCAGCTCACGCCCTTGATGCCTCCACCTGTCCTACAAGACATAGACCCCGACACCTTTTCTCTTACACCCTCGTTGTTCCTCCCCGCAGTTACATCCCACGGCCAGTCAGACCATCGCCACGCGCACTTCCCATTTTCCACTTCCTCTCATCAGACTCCCTTGGGAACAGCTGACTCTGGGTGAAGCCAAACCCCTACCTTTCTGTGGCTGCACCCAAGTATTTGAACATGACTGAAGAAAACCACAGAGGCATGTGGGAGATTTTCCGGAACTTTCACGCTCGCTCCCTACAAGTGGCCCCTTTGCACAGTGCAGTGATTCTACCACGTCTGTAGTCCGTGGTCTGGTGCCTTCCCCCAGATTCCATAGTTTCTCCTCTCTCCCTCATCGTCAGGTCCTCCCTGTCCGTTCTGTCAGGTGATTGCCTTGTTTCCTGTTTGATTAGAAAGTGGAGACAAGCGGATGAGCCCGTCCACAGACTCCTGCCACCGCTTCTTCCCCATCCTCCCCGCTGCCTGGGGCCGCTGTCTTCCCCTCCTCTGTGGCTGCCGTGGGGTGAGCCACCTCTGCCGTTGCTTGGGTGACCCCCTGCCGGTGCTAGTCCCATTTTTCTTGCCTGCTAGTTGCCGTGGCTTAGCAGTTCTCTCTTGCCAGCCCCTTAGCGTTTCCTGTCTACGGGATTACCAGCATACAAAATAGTGTGACTTATCTTAAAAACAAGAAATCTCTTGGTCCCACAACTTGCCATAGCTATTGGCTTCTTTCCCGTGGACTTTTTGAAAGTATTGTCCGCAGTCCTCTGCTCCCAGTTTCTCTTGGTCAGTTCTGGAGTTTTGCCCCCAATAATGTTGCGGGTCCCAACCTTGTCCCCAAACTGCTTTATCAGGGTCACCAATAATCTCCTTTTTGCTATATCCAATGTTGTTCTTAGTCCTCCTCTTACTTGATTTAGTTACAGCATATAAAATAGTTGATTACCCTTTCCTCTTTGAAATACTTTATTCATTTAGCTTCTAAGAGGATCACAGTACACCTCCTGGGTTGCCTCCTACCTCCTAACTACTCTCCTTCAGTCCTCTCTGCTAGTTCCTTCTTCTCTCTCCAGCTTCTAGATACTGGAGCGTCCTCGGATTCAGTCCTTAGATAGCTCTATTTCTAGACTATTCCCCAGTGACCTCTTCTAGGCTCATGACTTTGACCAGACCCTTTCCTTGAACTCATGCATCCTGCTGCCCACCCATTATGAGTCATTCTCCCGTGGCTTCTATTTCACTCAGAATAAAAGCTAAATTCCTTCCAATAGACATATAGGAGATCTTACCTGATTTATTCCCTCTTAATTTCTTTGAGCTGTTTCTTTTATAATTGCTCTTTTTCCCTCTGTTCAATCATATGAGCTTTCCTATATAGTTCCTTCACCATTGATCATCGGTGAGCTAACATAAAGTAAGGTTTTTAAGGTGCAAATGACATCAACCTTTCGGGGGTATGTGTCTCTCTTTGATTAGAAATGAAAATTAAAATTAGTAGAGTTGTGATAAATATGCAGTAAATGATCGTGGGCTAAGTAGGGACAGATGCTAAGGCAAAGGCAAGTATCACACTTCACAGCTGGTGTGGGGGCTGGAGCCCCAGGGGTCACAGTGCTGGGCAGAAGTTCCCTGGGTGAGGAAGCTGTTTGTAGATTCTTGTTTGTCTGTCTGGAGCAGACTGCTCCTTTGATCTGAACTGATACAACACTGAAAAGAGTCCTAAGTTTTTTTTTGCTCAGGAGATACAATTATTTTGAAATTGATGAGAGCCACAAAAATTATTAAAGGGTTGGGAAGACAGACCTTCAAGAACGGCTAAAGCCAGAGCAAAAGACCAGTATAGAATTAACTGTGAAAAACCTGGGTAGTGTAGTTTTCATTTTCTTCAGGACATATAGGAGTCTGTCACACTGGCAGATTTTTTTAAAATGTAGTAGTTATAATTAATTGTCATATGTTAAATCTTTAGAGGTATAAGTTTATAGGGATAATTCTTATTTTTAGACAAGTTCAGTGAGTTGTGTGGATTTTCAAATTATGTTTTAATCATTTAAAAATTATTATATTTAAAATATTGCTATTTTTGATAACGCTAATTTTGGAATCACCTCGTACATACTTTTGCTGTTTATCATTTTTTAGAAAGTTCCATTTATTTGAAAGTAACTTAAGCATGCCTGTTTTAAATCATTTAAATCTATTTCTGTTATGTAGGTCTTCCTGTGTTTTCAGAAAGTTGCTGCTGAAATCCTTGGAATCAAATTAAACAAAGCAGAAATAGAACAGTCACAGGTGATTATACTGAACTTTATATTTTAAAACAATTTATTTCTTAAAAGATACTAATTTCACTCTTGAATCCTTTCACTTTTATACATTCTATGTACCTGTCCTTAAAAGTATTAGAAATAAATGTTTGTGTAAATCAGTGTTTATAGTAATAGATGGAGGATGTTACCTTTTTGCCAAATTATGATATCCTTGAAATTTTTGTTTTATCCTTTTTGTGTTGAGAAGATGAGATTAACACAATAAAGATATCAACAGTGATTAAATAACATTCTGACTGTATTGTTTCATACTTCTTTATTAAAGTTCTCCAAGGATTACTGTATAACATTCTTTTATATTTCATAGAAAATCGCAGCTGTTCATCGAGTTCAGTCTTAGTGAGAATTACTCCATTTGGCATCTTCCAAGTTTCAGTTGATAAAATATTTTTTCTATTTTTAAAAAGTCTGTGCCATTTGATCTTCTCTAAGGCATTCTACACTATTATGATATCAATTCTTGATGTTATTTTATTATTGACTTAATGTATTCAATACTGAGGACTTCTGAGTTCTTTCATTATTCTAGACAGTTCTCTGTGCCTAAGGAATTAACGCTGGTGGTCACACACTTAAAAATACTGCTGCGATAGTGCACCATTGCACATGCTTGCTAGGATACAAAACCACAGCAAAAGCCTTTAAAGTTCAGCCTCAGATGTGTTTGGTTTGAAGCACAAATAAATTGCAAATTTTTTTAATCCCCTTCACTCCATCCTAACCCGTGCAGCTCAAAGGGTATATTGGTCTTTTCCTTGTCCTTAAAGAAGTTCCTCTGGAGTCTTTTGTCTTATTTTCATGGTGTTAGCGAGTGCTTTAAAATAATCAGAGCTAGTTGAAAATTGTTGTTTTGATGTGGCTGTTTCTTGGCCTGGATTAAAATATTTGGAACTCTGGAAATCTACTTTTATTTCTCATTATTCAAAGTCATTTATTTCTGAACTTACTTTGGCCAGACATAGAGTTAAGCTATTTTGTGCTAAGTAAGTGGCTCACACACACATAAAAATAGTTGTTTGGGTTTTATTTTAATACATTATTATAGTTGAGTAGTATTCCACTGTGTGTGTGTGTGTGTGTGTGTGTGTGTGTGAAAATGGCTCAAAGAGAAACTGGCACAAAGAATTTGAAAAACTTAGGTTGTGTTTTGGAATCAGAAGAATAGTTTGGTTAAGATAATGGCTTTTTGTGTCTGTTTGAAAGGCGTTTGAGAACAGATTACAGAGATGCCTAGGTGATCCATTTTACCTAACATATTGGCAGTGGGAAGTAATTTTTTAAATGAGGAAATAAATGAGAGCAGGTTTTAGATAGGATTAATCTAATGCGATTTCTTTGGTGTGTGGTTGGATGGGAAGGGGATTGAGAAGACTGGGTGACTGCCAGCGTGTGATAAGGTCCAGAGCCAGGGGTGACAGGAAAGGCTGAGTGTAAGGAGCATTTCAGAGGAGAATCAGTGGGACTTGGGCTATGACTCCGGCAGAGAGAGCCAGGAGACATGCAGGACTTGGGCGAGTTTTGTCCAGAGGAAGGCAGGAAGGCCAGGTCGATGGGCCCCCTGGAGAAGCCGTGCTGAACACCTGAGGCAGCCCCTCTGACTTGGGCCACTTGGATCCATTTGAAGGCGAAGTGGTAGCGAAGCTGCATTAAGAGCTCAGCTTCCCCTTAGTTACAGGAGCCAGAAAAAAATCACTGTTTTTGACTTTAGAGACATCCAGGTTTTTTTTTTTTTTTAACAGTCAGTTCTCAAGTTGAAATTACACAGTTTTTTTTTTTTTTACTTTTTTTCTTTTTTAAAGATTTATTTATTTATTCATACAAGCACTGGGTACAGTCAGGAGCACGGGAGGGTGAGAGAATTCACCAGAGCCAGAGCGGGGAGCAGAACAGGCAGACTGACGAAATACACTGCTGAGGGGAGCAGGGGGTGCGGCAGGAGAGTTCTGCACGCCATGTGGGACCCACGCCCGGCAGCTGGGGATCGAACCGGCGCTGCAGAGGCTGCGGGCAGCTTAGCAGCCCAGCGCTCAACCGTTGCGCCACCGGGGAGGCCCCATAGTTTGTTTTTTTAATTGAGGTAATATTGGTTTACAACACTGTGTATTATTTAGAAGTAGCCTCAATTCTACAGTCAGACTTCTAGGGGGTATTGGTTTGGTTTTATCTGGCCTTTTGTTTTGTTTCTTTATATTCTACATGTAAGTGAATGATCTGCTACTTGTCTTTCTCCTACTGACTTACTTCACTTAGCATAAGACAAATTTAATTGAGAAGGTGTTAGATGTGCTAACTACACTGCTAACTCCCTGTGAGGCCAGAGAGGCTAGTAAACTGCTGGCAGTTATGGATGTTTCTCACGGCATAGACTGGCCTATTACATGGAAGGAAAAGAAGACTCACTTTCGTTAAAGCTCCTACTGTGTGCAAAGTGTTATGTTCTATTCAAGCTTAAATTGGTAGCTCTCATCTTGACATGCTTTAAATATTTATCAGTCATACTATTCTTGAATAGTTTCTGCATCTGTTTTCTGTGCTAGACCTTCATACATCTCAAAATCAGAGACCATGTGTTATTTACCTGCTCTCCGTGCCTAGAGGAGCGATGACTTTAGGATGATGGTGACATGTTTTAGGCTTCAGGCACGGCAGACTGATTTCTGTGATGGAAAATGCATTACCCCTCTCTGGATTAATTGCAGAAGTGGCCAAAAATGTCTCTGGTGTCTTCCCAAGAGTCTATTTCTGCTCCCTAGCCCCAGCTCCTCGGCTGCTGCCTTCCCAACCCTCTAGATAGACACCACTTTTATTGCCAGTGTCCACTCCCAAATGCCCTTTGACTAGAGGGGGCCGAGGCTGGTGCTGAGCCACACGGCCGCTTTGCTCTGAGGTGTACTTGGTTGTTTTTACTCCATTGACTAATAGTAGGGAATATGAGTGTACTTGATGGCCCAAAAAATAAAACAAGGTGTTTTGTAGGAAACATTTTCTCTGAAAATATCAATGGATGGTTTGTAAACAAACTGACTACTTTGAAACCACCTTCTGTGAAGTTTATGGCATGGAGATTTTGTTTTTTTATTCATAGAAATCAAAGTTTTGAATCTGCACAGCCTTGGTTCTAGCTTCCAGTTTAGAAACTGTGTACAAAACTTTGTGTCAAACAGCCAAGGCCTCCAAGAAAGATGTTGCCTTGTTACTTCATTTCATGTGATGAAAATTAATGGTGAAAATCCAAGTCATTTATGTTAGTCAGTACTTCGACCAAATGTCGACCACAGGTCAGTAACCTGGTTGTGTTTATAGGATGGGCTTTAAACCAACATTCTGAGGATTAATGAGTTGCTCACTGATTATGAAAATCCCTTGTCTTTATGAGGAGCCATAGTTTGCACGGAACAATTAGGCTTGCTGAGGTCAGAGAGTGCTGTCCGGCGTTTCACCCGTGTACCCCCCTCATACCTCACGTGACAGCTGGTAATGCTCCTGTTGATAGCGTCAGGCAGAGTGCCTAGTAAATCATGAGTCTGGGCCAGGAGTTAGCACTGCTTGCTGGAGAGGGGCGAAGCGCCCCGTGCTCACTTTACTGTTTGCCCAGTCCTGTAGATGCAGTCGCCGACATGGTCCACGGCGTGTTCTTCCACACCTCTTAATCAAGAGATATTATTATGAAGGAAGAATTTTCTGAAATAGATATTTAGAATTATTATTATTATTTAAAAAGGTTTATTTATGTATACAAGAACTGGCGTACAGGCCAGAGGTGTGTGTGGGGGGGGGTGAGAGGATTCACCAGAGGTGGGGGAACAGAACAGGCAGACTGACCAAAGTACACTGCTGAGGGGAGCAGCAGGCAGCCAGGAGAGGTCTGCTGCGCCATGTGGGTTGCTCCCTGGCAGGCCAGATTTGAACTTACGCTGCAGAGGCTGCAGATTGCTTCATAGGTTGCATCTTTTTTTTTTTTTTCAAATGTTGGTATTTATCTCTCCTTCTTTACTATTTTTTTTTTTTTTAAGATTTATTTATTTATTTATACAAGCACTGGGGACAGTCAGAAGCGCGGGAGGGTGAGAGAATTCACCAGAGCCAGAGCGGGGAGCAGAGCAGGCAGAAGGACCGAAGGACACTGCTGAGGGGAGCAGCGGGCGGCAGGAGAGGTCTGCGCGCCATGTGGGACCCTCCTCCGGAGGCCGGGGAGCAGCCGGGGATCGAACCGGCGCTGCAGAGGCCACGGGCAGCTTCGCAACCCAGCGCTCAACCGCTGCGCCACCGGGAAGGCCCATAGGTTTCATCTTAACCCCTTGCGCCACCAGGGAGGCCCGATATTTGGAATTAGTTTTAAAAATCAGGGATAGTTTAAATCTAAAAGACTGGGGGAGCCTGTTACCTCTGTCCTATGTATTTGTCATACGTGGTCTTTTCTTCGGTTTTGTGGCAATCCAAAACCTAGCCAAGTGGTTTGGATTCTTAAGTCAGCAAAACTCTGAAACCCTTAGACATTTGAAAACAATAGCTGTGTGCTTAAGTATCGTATGTCATTTTTTTTTTTTTAAATGACAGAAAACTGCCATTTGAACTGATTTATTTTACCTGGAATTTGGAAGCATGGAGGGAGGGGGGTGAGCAGCAAAGGTCGTCTTTGACAGGAACACTGTTAGCTGTAAACCATTGTCATGGGGTATGGCCGCCTCTGATTTACACCTCCGCCTCTTTATACCTGCAAAGAAATTTAACTGCTCTTCGGCTGTTCCCACCACACGTAAGTCCACAAGTGAGCACTTTCGGGGTCTCGTAGCCTCGTACTTGCTTTCACCGTGAGGGCCAAGAGACCGGTGAACAGTGCCGTGAGTGCCCCTGCGTGGGCAGTGTGGACGCGGCCTGGGAGACCGGCATGGTGTCTGCTGAAGGACACGGAGTTCACGCTGTCGCGTGGAAAAGCCCCATCATGCGTCATTGTCCTCTGAGAGGCTGGGCTTTGTATAGTGGCATGTGACTGTGGGATGAAAAAGGGAACTCACTGGGAGGTTCAGTAGACACGTCTCCCTCAGGGCCTGGAACTGTCAAGAATAACGTTTCTTGGATCTTTGTTCGTTTTCTTTCCTGTTGGGCTGTCTATGTTCTGCTCTTTCTTTTGTGCTTTGTGTAAATTTGTGTTGACTTTCTTTTTCTACCTGATGTTCTCCTCTATTTTCACTGAATATACTTTCCATTTTCTTCTTCCTCTCCCTACCCCCTTCTTCATCTTGTTTACTTGGTGTGCTGTGGAACTGACAGGCGCTGCCAGGGCCGAAACAGTGACGTGCTGGGAAGAAGATCCTCAACATTCCAGCTCCGCTCAGAGTAGAGTCTGTGCAGTACAGTGGTGCAGGGATGGGCTGATAAATTCTTGGTTTGGGGAGCGGGGTTGGGCAGAACTAGTGGATGTTTTCCTGTTCTTTATTCCTTACGACAAGAGAAGTTCAAGTGTGATTGTACCTTATTGAGAATTAATATCGCTTAAGTTGTGTCTCAGAATTTTGAAAAATGGATTCTTTGCCAAGAGACTTCGGAATTAGATGAGGAATTGGGAACAAACTAAAATAACATTTCAGTTACTTTAAAACATATTTGTCTCTATGGTTGTGTTTATTACACGTGCAGTGAAGTGGAGAAGGGGCGAGTTATTTCATCATTCATTCTTTGCCATTTTGTCCTGGTAAAGCCTGGTCATTGAAAAGCATTTTTAAAATTTGCCTTGAGTGAACACTTGGCGTGCTTGTGTGTGCAGATTCAGGGCACGAGTTGAGTGCAGTGAAGAATTCCTTTTAACTTCAATAATTGCTTAGAGATGAGCAGTAGCAATAGCTAAGTTCATCAATTAAGATAGGCCTCCAAATGAGAGTTAGAGGGGACAAGGAAGAGGTAAAAGCATCTTTTGGTTTAAGTTTTTTTTGGGGGTGGGGGCGAGGTCTTTTTCCTCTTCTCTAATCAATGTGGTAAAGATTAGGAAAGAGATTTTTCAGAGCTAGTTTCTTTTTTCACTTATTTAAATTATTTTAAAAAAACATGAATATGAGGTATTTCTTAAGATTTTCCATTCTGTATTTTGTTAGGGTCACTGTGCAGGACCCAGCGGTGAGGTATTTGGAAGTAAGTGAGCAATTTGGGAGGAAAATTTTAAAACTTGGCGTCACTGAAAACGTTTCTCTTTTCTGTGTGACCCCTCTTTGATGTTTGTGCCTCTTCTCACTGATTCTTAAGTTGCTATCACCGCGCTTTAAAAAGTTATGACGAGATATACTAGTTTATGGAAATAATTAATAATGACATTTTTATTTGAAATTATGAAATTTGGCCTATGAACTAAAATGTGTGAGTAATTAAATTCCTGTGCTGTAAATTACAACCAGGTTTTCATTTTTCAAATTGATGTGTCAGTTTTTTGTTAGACTTGTGATAACCTTAAGGTAATGTCATAAAACCTGGGGAGACTCAACAAATGAGTTGCCGTTAAGTTTCTAAAAGACAAACAAACCAGCCTCCACCCCCAAATCCTAACTCCCCGTTCGCTGGTTCGGTCCCTTCGTGAAGGATCCAGCGCCCGCTTCATTTATGGCGTCTGTCACCAGGAGTTTCGCCAGAGTTCAGAGAATGAAAATATACTTTAAGGAGCCCTTTCTAAATGTTCTGATGTGCCGATAATAACCGTGTTTTCCTTTACGGCAGAGGGTGGTGAAGGCAGACATCGTGAACTACAGCCAGGAGCCCGTGTCCAGGACCGTGAACCCCCAGCGCAGCTCCGTGTGTGCCGTGCAGTGAGCGCGGGCCTCCGCCTCCCGCCGCCCTTCTGCACACCAGGCAGGGGCGGCCTGGTCTCGCCCGGGCTGCGGCCTGGCTGCACCGTGGGGAGCTGCTCCATGTGCACCAGCCCCGGAAGGCGTCTCCTCTTGCTCTGCTGCGAACGTACATAAAGCTGATGCCGAACTGAAGATGCTTCAATAAAGCTGTCATAGAAATATTTTTTTCATTTTATAAAAAGGGCGTAAATTGTTTATATTGCAGCTCTAGCTCATAAAGTAGCATTTGATATTGTATTTTTGTGACTGTGTCACGGCGGGTCTGTGCTGTGGGCTGGGCGGGCCGGGCCTGTGGGCGCTGCGCCCCGGGCCACCCTCCCGACCCGGCAGGAGGACTCGAGTGAGTCTCGGCTCTTGTTGGATCACTGCGGGTCAGACTGTACCTGATGTTCAATTTTTCTTCTGCAAATAAATTTATTTAAACTACTTCTTGTCAGAATGTTCTTTCAACCATCTTCCTTTTAGTTCCAGAAAAGCAAAGTGTATTTGGATACAGGATCAGGATCAGGAGAAGCCTCCTAGGCTGGTGGCCGTGTGCGTGGTGAGGTGTTCTGCCGTGCCCACCGCAGGGTGAGCCCTGTGCCTGGCCTGTCGGGGCTGCCTGGCTGCTGCTTCCGGTGCCACTGGCGGTGCCCTGCCTCCCTGGGCACCCGGGGCACCATGGATACACCCTCTGTGCGTGGCATGGGCGCATGGGCCTGGAATACCACCCCCCTCCAAATGTCTGCCTCCTGCCAGCCAGCCCTTGGCACCCTGAGGGCGGGACTGTCTGTCCTAGCGGTTTCTCGCGCTGAGGCCCAGGGCTTGGGCGGGCAGCCCTCCCTCTGCCACGTGGGAGCAGCGATGAATGGACTCCCACCAAGGCAGCCTCCCTCCACAGCCGAACCTCCCGTGAGCACCTCTCGGTGGCCGCGAGCCGTTCCTGTTGTGAATCACGGTTACTCTGCCCTTGTGTTTTATTGTTTAATAAACCACGAGCTTATTGAAGGCAGTCCTGGGGCGCGCCCCTCCTAGGAGACTTGCCACAAGTGTGCGCAGAAATTCTGGATGCCTCATTTTACAGTGGTAAGGGATTTCTGAAAGTCTGTTATTTCACATCCTGTGTGACTAAGGAAGCCGAAGCTGGGAGGCAAAAAGGAACTTGCCAGAGGTCATGGAATCCCAGAGCTAGACTCGGCTCTCAAATCACTTTCAAGAGTGCTTTGAAATTTAAGACTTTTTTAAAAATTGAGGCTCTACTCATTAAACAATGGGAACTTTTAATTTAATCGAATAACCTCTAATTTCTCTACTTTTCATTTTGTAGCAACGAAGCAGCTCTGTGAGCCTTTCAAGGCACGAATCCTTCCAAGGCGTTCAGTTTAACCTTCCGCTTGATGTCCTCCTACCAGACACCATCAGTCTGAGAGGGAGAACGTTTGCCCTTGGTGCTGTCATTTTCAAATCCGGGACTGATGGCCGTCTACTGGTAAACTTGCCCAAGACTTCATGTTTCTCTTAAGGAGCAAGACCACCTTTGTGCTGTGAAAACTTGAGGTTCCTCAGAAAATGTTTTCCAATCCAGTTATTGCAGAACGACGAGCTGTACCCACTCACGCACGTAGGAGGGTGCGAGCGCGGTGCCGTGGACATGCTAGAGGAGGCAGAGACATCACCAGGGGCCTGTGGTCAGACCCAGTGGCTCTGGCCTGTGACGTGAGGGTGCCGACGGGACTGAGCAGAGGGCGGGAGAGGACCCCCGGGCACTTTCACCTGAGCCATTTTCCTTCACGCCCATCTGTCGGGGGTGTCAGTCATTGTGCCCACTGGAGGACACTGAAACTGGTCATGATGGTGCCAAGTCCTTCTTCAAGTAAGTGGTCAAACTAGAACCCACACAAGCCGCTGCTGAGACAGCGTGGATGAGGCCGGGCCCCGAGTGAGGCCGCCTTCCGCTTGGGCAGCTCACACCAAGGGCCCCCTCCTGGGGCTGAAGGGGTCCTGTAGAGGGAGGGGTGACCCAGTGCCGGCCTCTCCACCCTCACATGCACCCCTGGACCAGCGGCGTGTGCCCGGACAGCCTGCCTGGCCGCTGTGCCTCTGGCCACCGGGACGGGGACTGAGGTAGCCCCGGCCCGTGGCCTCATGGGCTGGACGGCCGCCTTGTGAGCGGGAGCGGCCGCCGCGGGCCCGCGGTTCCAGGAAGGCCGGCGCCTTGACCGGCAGGCAGCGTGCGGCCGAAGCCCACTCCCGAAGCCCACGGTACAATTTTCCCCATACCTCGGGTTTATTTTTGAAACAAAGCGTTGGATTCATGCTTATTTTGCTTTGACTGTTCCCTCTCCTGTCCACAGTTTTTAATTAAAGAAATTACAAGTCTCCCCGTCTAGTTTGAGGCACTTTGTCTGAAGACGCGTGCTCTAAAGTTTCAAACGCATTGTGGTCACCGCCGCTGCTTGGGGAGCTTTTGAAAAACACAAAAGCTCCTCAGCCAGAACTGGTCATTGGACGCTGCTTTCAAGGGCACCCGCTATTATGTGTGGCAAACCGCCCCGGGGTGGTTTCTGGAGTGACCCGGAGAGCTCCTGGGGCTGCTTTATTATTCCAGGAGGGGGTCAGCTGGGACCCTGGAAAGTCGGTTGCCGAAGCCACCGGCTGGGGCAGGAGAACTGGTGCTCTCTGCCCATTGCCCGCGGCTGCTGGCGTGTGGGGCGTCCTGAGAAAAGGCTCCCAAGATGGCAAGGCAGAGCAAATGCAGACGCCGGGCATGGCGGTGGGGTCTGCCAGCGGCCCCCCAGCGTCCACGTCTCCTGACAGCTTCCCTCATCTCCTGCTGGAGCCTCCTCCTCTGTCCCCCCTCGAAGCCCTAAGCGGAGCCTCGCAGGCCTCATCCCGTGAGGGGGACTGATTCCTCCTGGTCCCGGTGGTTGGCTCAGAACGGAGCTGCTCACCCATCAGAGCTGACGCTGGGGAGACACGGCCAGGTTTCCGAGAAAGCACAGAGAGGGAGCAAGGGGAGGGAAGAAAGAAAAGACGAGGCAGAGACTCGGCCGCCTGCACCTGAGCGGAGAGGCCGCGCTCCGGGCCTGTCTGCAGCCATCCTGGGCTGCAAAGCGCCAGCGGCCTGCAGGGCAGCCATGGCAGAGACCCCCCAGGCTGACCTTCAGGCCCCGGCAGCTCCCACCCCGCGCTCCTCTCCCTGTGCTGCGTCAGCCATCTCCAAGGACGCAACGATTCTGGTGGCTAAATATACATGGACCTGCGAGAGGACGGGCTGACGAGGGAAGTCCATAAAAACAGAGACTGGATACTTGCAATCCCCATTCAGTCGGGTTGGGGTTTCTCCTGTCCTCAGACTAATTTCTTCAAAAACTTAAAGTTACGACGTTTATAAACGTCTTAAAAATGCTTCATACAGAGAAAAGTGAAGAAGCCTGAACACCCTGTTCTCGGACCACATCAGCGGCCTTTGGGTGACAAGCCAGGCTGAGCTGTCTCTCCTCCCGCCCGCGCGTTCAGAAGCTACACTGGGCCTCCCTGGTGGCGCAGCGGGTTGAGCGCCGCGCTGGGAAGCTGTCTGCAGCCTCTGCAGCACGGGTTCGATCCCGGCCGGCCGAGGAGATACCCATATGGCATGGCAGACCTCTCCCCTGTAAACAGGGGAGATCACCAGGGGGGCCACCTCGAGAATTTCCTGGGGCTGACGTGAGACGCATCCTGGGGGCAAGGCCTTTACAGCAACCCCAGACAAGGGCGCGGACGGTCAGGCTTTTCAGTCTGCTGTTCTCAGCGCAACATGGACACCGCTTTTGTCTAAACATCCCCAGCAGCAAACTAGCGGAGCCCCTCTTGTTACATGCTGAGGCCTCTCCTGCAGCAGTCCAGGGTCCCTGGAACGCCCACGGTTGCTTCTGATTAGGCGTGGGGGGCTATCTCCTTCTGGTCCAACAAAGATCCTTGACTCTTTTTTTAAAGCTTTTATTTTTTTTTAAGATTGATTTATTTATGCATACAAGACCTGGGGTACAGGCCAGAGGTGGGGGGCTGTGTGAAAGGATTCACCAGAGACAGAGTGGGGAGCACAACAGGCTGATTAACTGAAATCCACTGCTGAGGGGAGCAGCGGGAGAGTCAGGAGAGGTCTGCTGCGCCATGTGGGCTGCTCCCTGGCCGGCCGGGGAATTGAACTCGTGCTGCAG